CCGCCGAGGGTTTAGGGTTTGAAGCAGCAGCAGCAGCAGCAGCAGCAGCAGCCAACCCCAGGCTTCAGCTGCAGCCCCAGAAACCACTAGGGTTTAGGGTTTAGGGTTTAGGGTTTACTGCAAAGGGAGGCAAACTTCTCCGATATCTTCGAATTGCTCGAAGCCCACGCCAGCAGCCGGCAGCCGTACTGCAGCGCCTTCGTGGCCTTGTCCCTCCCCTCTGCAGCAGCAGCAGCAGCAGCAGAAAAAGCAGCAGCAGCATTAGCAGCAGCAGTAGCCGCGTTGCAGCACAGGCACCCCACATGCGGCTGCAGCAGCTGCAGCAGGCGGGGCGCTGCGAGGGGGAAATGCAGCAAATCGCAACAGCAAGTGCATCAGCAGCAGCAGCAGCAACTGCAGCAGCGGCAACTGCAGCAGCAGCAGCAGCAACTGCAGCAGCAGCAGCAGTACCAGTCTTGTTGAGGAAGGCGACCAGCCTTTCCGTGTCTGAAAAGGCGGAACTGTGCAGCCGCGACAAAGGGAGGTCCATTTTGCTGCTGCTGCTGCTGCTGCTGCTGCTGCTGTTGTTGATCGCGCTGTTGTTGCCGCTGCTGCGACCTCCTCGAGAGCTCCTGCTGCTGCTTCTGCTGCTGCTGCAGCTTCTCCTCTTTGTGGGGTTAGTGTTCTAGCGGTGTGAAGGCCAGTTGCCTTCTGCAGCAGCAGCAGCAGCAGTGGGAGCAGCAGCTGCTGCTGCTGCAGCAACTAGGCAGGCAGACACGAAAGTGCTGGCACACACTGTGGGGAACAGCAGCCTTTCGATTTGCTGCTGTTGTTACAACTGCAGCAGCTGCTGCTGCTGCTGCTGTTCTGTGCAAAGGCTTGCCCCTGCTGCTCGCTTTGGCCGCCGCTGCTGCTGCTGCTGCTGCTGCTTAAAACTTCTTGTAAATTCTGTCTTCCTTTGCTTTTGTTTTTGTTTTTCTTTATAGAATCAACGCTGTTACATAATAGGCAGCAGCAGCTGTGCAGCAGCAGCAGCAGCGACAGCAGGCGACAGCGTCGCAGCAGCAGCAGC